GTGAAGGTTCAGGGGAAGAAATGCAAGGATTGACAATGGACGACACCGTTCTGGTGAGGCGGGAAAAATTTCCCCGTTTTTTTCGGAATAATTTACCCCAGATACTTCGTTCGTACTTAGACGAACGGCTGGCTGAGATTGATGAGCTCAACGAGAGAATGGCTCGTATTCGGGCAGAAACCGAGCAGGATTTGCATTTAGCGCTCGCCCTGATGATCGATTGTGGCCAAATCAGATATTCCCTCAATCAGAAGGACTCGGAGATGAAGGAGCGGTTGAGGTTCTTGCAGGAGCGCAACGACGCGAAAGTCGAGGAATCGCAAACAAAGTCCGAGGATTTTTACGAAAATTTCTGAGAAATTTCGGGAAAAAATTTTTTATTGGAAATTTAGCGGTTTTTCTGTGATCAGATACATCGCGATGGTAGAAAAGTTGAGCGAGGCGCAGCGAAGCGGGGCGGTGGACCGAGACGAGCTGACGCGAAAATTTTCGAAAAATCTATTAGAAACTGAAAAGGAGTAGGCGCTGGTTGTGATGAGCGTTTTAGAAAATGGGTAATTTATTCACAACTGATTTGCTCTGATGAAGGTACGAAGATAAACTGAAGGTTCAATACGAGAGAGAGGAGAAAAGGTTGGAGGAAATCGATTTGGTGAGATCGATTAACGGTTTTTTTATTTTACAAACGGTTTTAGCTCGATTGTGGTTGGTATTAATTTTCCATGCTATTTTTCCCTCCTGAAATTTCCTTCCATTGAACTTGGTATTATTTTGTCTTCCTCAGTTACGTCAGGACAACGACCGCCGTTTGTCGTCGCTGAAGAGAAAATATGAGAGTAAAATTGCTGATCTGGAAAACGTGCGAGGGAAGGTAGAAAACGGCGGTGAATTTTCGGAAAAATTAATTTAATTTTTCACTTCCCGGAAAATTAACGCCATAATTTCATCCTCCGGGCGCTTGTTATCATCATTTTTGATTATCGTTCCCCGAGAAAAAATACTGTAAAAATCTATGCTAAATTTTTCAGAAAAAATTTTAAATTTGGTCTGGTCGAATTTTCTGGGTTGATATTAATTTGCGGACGATTGAGTTTTTTCCCATTATTTTCGCACGAACATTTTTCCCGTCGTTGCTAGTTTTGAGAATCATAAACTGGTATCAGGAAATTCGAAAATGGCGATGCCAGTACGAAGAGGTCAGGGGGGAGATGGAGCGTGATGCCGCGAAGTTTGAGGAGGCCATGAAACAACAGGAGGCTGAATATGAAGGGTAGTGTGATGGATGTGTGGTATCGGTCAGAGGCGACTGATGAAAATCATGCTAACCCTAGGGGACAGGGGGATTGTGTGCCAACGCGGCAATTGCGTTGATTTATATTTTTACAATAACTTTGGTAGTTGTAAAAATGATGGTGCCACAATCTCCTTGTAGTCCATGAGTAAACTGGACTCATTCTGAGATTATTATAGATAACGCAACGTCGCCACTTGAGATGGCTACTTCAGTAACCGACCTCTCCTCTAGAACCTCTAATGACAATAGCTGACGGCAAGATTAAGGCATCTTGCACTCTTGCTATTCCTCTATAATCAATATATGAATATTCAGCAACTCATGAGTGGTACTCAATAACGGCTGGTGAAGATACCGTTGTAGTGAGCACTGGCCCAGTCGGGAGTAGTCCAGTGACCGGGCCAGTATGAGCTCAGCTCGATTGTAGACACATCACACAATCTCACAATGATCAGCGTGTTGCGGATGGTGTGGTAGGGCAGTATTTTTGTCAGGGAGATCTCGCAACTTCGCGAGGAACAATCGAGAATTCTACAATTGGGAGCGGAGCGAAGCGCCACTGCTCGTGCTGAACAAGTGAGGAAAAATTGCCGAAAAATTTCTGATTTTTTCCGTAAATTTACAGGTTGCGCTGAAACACTCGATGGCGCGGCTTCAGCGGGTTAACGTGGAAAAGGAAGATGAGTTGGAAACGCTGAGGGAAAAAGTTCGACAAATGAAAAACAAAATGGAAAGAAGTCGAGCTTCTGCGGGTAAGTATCAGAAAATTTCGGAAAAAAAAATGATATTTTTTTGTCAGAAAAGGCGACGGAGCAACTTGATCACCATCGTATGGCGATCACGCGCCAGGATAAGATGCTTTTGAGGGCGGAGAAAGAATCGAAGAACCTTCAAAATTTCCGTTCTGTACGAAGGGGATCCGGCTGTCCTTTGTCAGCTGGATTTTTTGTGGTGGGAGAGATGAAATTTTCGGCATTTCCCTGGAATTTTACGAACGAAGTTTTATATTTTTTTGGTATCTCTCGTGAAAATCCAGTCTAGGGTTCTATTTCGAACCCGATTCGAAAGCTCGTAATTTTGAAAGGTTCTCTTTCGTCGCGTGAAGCAGTTAGAAGAAGAGAAAGCACCTCTGAAGGAGCAGGTCGACTCTCTGCGAAAAGCGGTAAGGGAGGGTCATCCAAGAGTGAAAATTGTGAGTCATTTCGAACTTTTCCTAGACTTTTGCCGAGACAAAAGGAATTTGAAAATCTATACAAAATTCCGGGAAAAAATCCAAACTCGTGAGGGTATCAGCATTCGGTGGTACTCTGCAATAACTCAATTTTAGAGGCTTTCCGCAGCCTGAAGATTCCTCTTAATCTTGGCCAGTAGGTTCGCTCGATCACATCATGCGATCAGGTGCGGGATATTTACGGGGAGTTTGTGAGTGAATTTGAGACGAAAAAATCGCTCGAAGGGCAGCTCGACGAAAGAGGGAGGAGTTTGACAAAAGCAAGAAGTCAGACTATTGCCCTACGCGAGAAAAATGCGGGTGAGAAGAGAATCTTTGGGAATCTTTTCCGTGCGGGGAATCTTTGAGAATCTAGGTATCGCCAATGAGGTTGGGAAGCTTTTGCAGGAAGTGCGTTATGTTATGTCGGAGAGTCAGATTGCTGATGATCGCGACGACCGGCGACTAGTGGGTCCCGTCTCGGTCGCTGAGGACTTGAGGAAACTCTTCTTTTCAGTTGGCGAGATTGGGGGAACTGGTGCATCGCGAAGAGAAGAAAATGGCGATTAAACGGGCTAAGGAGAAAACGGTAGGGAGAAGGGCGAAGTTTGTGCTCGGCGACAAGCGGAGAATATTTCTTTTGGTGTGATTTTCCTGTGGCGTAAAGAACACGTTCGCTATCACATGGCGAGCGAGGAACGACACTTGAAGCATTACGGGCAAAACTTCAATGGTATCACATTAGAAAGTTTTATGAAGTACTGCGTGTATGAATGTGTTAGTATTAAGAAGGGCTCTTCGATGATCTGATAAGATTCTACTTGGTATCTTATTAATCGTGCAGAGTCATGGTCGAGCTAGGATACGCCACTATCAGTTACTTGTAGTAGATCCTGAATCATAACTCCTCCGGTGGTCCTCAGGAGTGCACGAGGAACACGGAGAGGACCTGCTTGATTCGATTGATGATGATGATTCTGGTACGGCCCTGGCCAGAGAGCTCCTGCATCAGAGAGATGTGGGTCTCGGTGAAGGACTCTAGCGGGAGTCGGTTTATACGCTACTCGCTGTCTTGGGGTATAGAAGGCTTTGATTGTTTTTACGGCGGGTTATTCATCGGTCGATCGATCGCGGAGCACCATTGTTAAGCGGTCGGGGCTGTTGAGGTCTAGAGGACGAGAGAGTTATGCAGTTTATCCCAGCCGATCGGATTGTCCGACGGAAGACCTACCGAACGCAACCTCGCATCGTCGAATCAGTTAGCGGTCGTGGTGTATCCGAATTCGGGAGGGGAGTTCATCATATCATGTCCTTCCCATGCTCCTCGTCAGTTGCTTTACGCGAAGGCTCGCAAGCTGACCGAGGTGAATACGAAGTTGGCCGAGGACGGTCTGCTTGGGCGTCGCCGGATGATGGCCGATAACTCCGCTATGATTAGGGAGCTCAACGAGCTCCGGTTGGAAAAGAAAGAATTGCATAAAACCATCGAGGTCGCCATTCCCCTGCCTCCTGGCTGACCAGCTTTTTCCTCAGAACTTGGAGTCCGAAAATCGCCTCCATGAGCTGCAATGTGAGCCACCTAAATGAGAAGAAAAAGGACAAGTCGGGAAGGGGAGCATCGGAAGGCCCGATCCGAGCTTGCAGGTCTGTTCGGAAATCGAAGTCTCTCGCCAGCGGGTTGACGCCGTACCAGCAGCATAAAATGGAGGGCGAGGAAGAGAGAGTCCACAGGAGAGTGTTGGCCTTGCAAGCCCGCAGCAGAAGTAAGAGCGCTCGAAGGATGATGATGATTTTGGCGGCGGCAGATTCCAGCATGGTCGGGCAGCCCAGCGGGGATATCTTTTCGGAGCATGCGGAAATGCTCGAAGGCGAGGGGTATCTTTCATCAGTGTCATGTGCATGGATCGACCTCTCTGCCAGGTACAGACTGTCCAGGCTGCAGTTTGATTACATCACAGAGTCTCATCCCACCACGCAGGGCTCCTCTACGGGTCTTCGCCGCACTCAAGGAAGCGAGGGGTGAGCCTCTGGAAGAGTATGAGATTTTTCCCGTTGTGCAAAGCCGCGGAATCTGTTATTATTATTCGGCATTTGATTGCAGGTTCTCCTCAACTTCACCGCTTGCAGGGGTGAAACTCCCCAGATCTAATTCATTCTCTCGCACGGCTCGGTCGTCTCTCATTTAATCTGCTCGTTGCGTTATTGAGTAGTGCAGAGGCGGTCGTTTGAAGGGAAAATATATTTTGCTAAAATAGGGAGCCGACAATTGCCACCGGGTTGTTGGCACAAGTCCCGGATTGTCTCGGGCCCTTCCTGTCATCTCCGACGGACTGACGTAGAGCCGCAACGACGGTCGTATCCTTTATGTGTTGCATGAGTTTTTGACAGAAGAGGTTATTAGTGATGAGGAATGGCGTTTGGGTGAACTTCGTTGCGGTCTGCGGGTTCTCAAACACTGTACATGCCCCATGGTGCCATCAAGACGGGTGTATCACCGACAGTTTGGCCGAGTGGTCCAAGGCGCTACCCTAAGGCGTTAGTCCGGGAGAGCGCGAGTTCAAATCTTGAAGCCGTCATAACACACATAAACCATCCTCTCTACCTTCCGATTCCCGCTCCCTTCGATCAGCCGTAGTCGATCATCGCTGTCAGGCTACGGCCGGCTGGTCTCGAGGCCTAATGGATAAGCCGTCGGTCTTCGGACCCAAAGATTGTGTGTGTGAGTTTATAGTCCAACGCTAACGGTTCCGGCTTAGTTAGACTCTTGCCAATGTGCTCAGTTGGAGACTTTCTGTAGCATTGACATTCGGTGCAATCAGACAGATTGTCAAGAAGCTATTCTCAGGGTTATATTCAACCAGAGAGACATCCTTTCCTCCTGGCAGGATTCGCTTACACATCCGGGGGGCTGTGCCTACGACCGTCACACAAAGCCTCGCCCCGGCGTTCCACGACAAGCATCATCTCCAGGACTCGAAAAGTCCGCCACTCAAGTTGCTTTTCCCCCGTTCAGTTAGCAAAGATGGTGGGTTCGAATCCCAGCAAAGTCGTGTTTTGTTGTGGATGTGACATTCGTATCTTGCGTCGACTATTAGCTATCAACGTCGTTGCCCGGAGACCCTTCTGCAGGATTATATCCTATTAACTAGCTAGCTTCGATTCACCGCCTGTGAAACTCGGACGTGCATGATTTGAGAAAACTCTGTTGGTAGGTACCTCGCATAGTGGCTGTGATCTTTACAGAAGATTCTTTAGTGATGCATACTGAGGATTACAACCGTCCGGTCAACCCACGTACGTGATGATGACAAGGGAGCATTCTCGATCGTATCCTCGGCGACCCTGATGTTGGCTATTAGAGAACGCAAGATCTCATGTCTGATAAAGTCCCGCAATACTCTTCAACTTATCCGTTACTGATGCTGATGAAACCGATTGCAAGCGTTGAGTTGAAGTAAACTTCCATCGTGTGCCACTGGGCAATTGCACCCTATAAATACTTAAATTCAACAAGTAGCACTAGTTGAACACAGACACATCGCTGAGAGAAGAAGAACAACACTCAGAACGGCTTCTTCGCCATCTCATTCGCGTAATTAATGAAAGTTAGCATATTTTTAGCGAGGATCCTCTTCCTGTAGTCCAATGACTTTGCGTACAGTTTCTCGTGAAGAGTTTGGAAAAGATTCTCGCAATTAGCGTAGTCCTCATCCTCTAGGGTGATACCTTTGAAAGGGTTGGAAGAGACGAAGCCGGACAGACGCGGTTCCTTCTCGAGGGTGACTTCAACTTCGACCCCGGCGGCCTCGGCCACGCAGGCCTTGGGCCACCTGCCCGGCCCAATAAGACCACCCTGAAAGTTGCATTGGATAAGGTCACTCGAGAGGAACCCTCAAAGCGGGCGAGACTAGGTTACTCACTTCGAGAGGTGGAATGGGGCTTCCTTGCGCTCCGCCCCTCAGAGAGCCTCGAACGCTGACGGCGGTCGCGCAGAAGTATGGCAGAATCGACGAGATCTTCATGATGCTCAGTCAGTAGAGAATACGTTATCGACAAGCTGGTTAGCATCAAGCCGGAATTTGTATTCGGGCGAAAGCGGCGGCATTGGCTCGCCTCAACTTGCCTTAATCGATTCCACCGCGTAACCGTAACCTCGCTTGCTTCTGCCGACCCGCCACGACTCGAGCAGGTGTTGTATGCACGGCCGCGGAGCCTCCGCGGAGGAGGTCCCGCTTATTATCCTACAGCTAGCTCATCGCGTATGTGTGCAAGGTTGATAGGAAGACAAGGCGCAGCCGAAGGCTGCGATGTGTCGGACTATCAACCGGTCAAAACCCGCAGAAATCAGGACGCTTCGGGGACAGCCTCCCCGAACATTGCGCGAAGGAACACAACGTGACAACTCGCGCGCCCAGTGCTTATTACTATGAAACGCTCGGGCCGGAGACATAAGTATCGCTAGGGGCGCCTCCTCAGGAACGGTTCCTCGGCGCTCGATTTTTTTTCCCATCCCGCACCCACCCGGGATACTTTTCTTCGCATGTCCTCGTCTCGCTGGACGACGCTCCCAGAAACTGCAAACCGGCAACCGGCACCGCCGGTCAGCAGCAGGGAGCTGTGGGTCACAGCCTGCGACCTGCCGAGCACCCGAAGCCGTCTTCGAGTAGTATGTGGCGCGTGCGGACTCTGCAGCACGCAAGCTACACGGCATAAGGGCTCTGACCGCACTCGGCAGCCTGCTGGCAGCCCGCTGGCAGAAGGGCGAACTAGGGGCTCGTCACGGCGATGACATCGCCGAAGCGAGTCACAACTTTGAGATCGCTGTGAACGTCTTGGCCATCCGGGCCAATCAATATTCGACGTCACAGGGCTCCTTCTCAAGCTTAGCCACAGTTTGGACTAGCGTCATCTCCCGCACGGCGAGACGCGCAACTGTCGATCAGTCGGCTTGGTAAGGAGCCGTTCGACGCCTCTGCTCAGCTGTTCACCTCCACAGCCTGTGGAGTCCACAGTGTGGGCCACAGAAGCTGCCTGCTCAAGTTGGTAGGGTGGGTGTCTGGCTCAATCAGCGGTCAGTGACATCGCCATCCGTCAGTCATCACCCACCAATGTGGCCACCCGCTCGGGTCGCGGTCTGTCCGCCTCTCTCTCACCCATTGTTTGGACAGTTCGTGATTTCGTTGCGGGTTTTGACAACTATCACTGAGAAGCGACGAAGTATAGTAGCTCGAACAATCGAGGAAAGTGCGCACGGAACGACTGCCAGAGGTCGCCACGAATCGCTCAAAATTCTGTTGGCAAGGACAGTGCACAATTCAGCACCTAAACCCGACGCGATCGAGTATGGTCATCACTAACGAGTTGACAGTAAGGGAGTCCGGGCTCGCCCGAATGATGTGCGGAGTTTCGAATATCTGAGCGGCTACCAGGGAGAGCGGGCTATTTCGATGGTGCGAGCCTCTCATGAGGACTCATCCAACAGCTCAGTCCTCGCGGAATGGTCATGTCACAAGAAGCTCGGCTACTTCCCGGATTAGTCGTCGGACGCTCTGCTCACTGGGTCGTCTCCGGCATGCCGGTTAACGTTGAGTCGTTGAATGAACACGGGGCCTATAAAATGATTCTATTAAAATCGCCGATAGAAGCGACAAGTTGATGGTTCTATCGGCTGGGTCCCAGCCGCTGGGAAAGATGGCATTGCACTCTCAATGGCCAATCATTAATACGCTCGTCCGCTAAGCTGACAAACTGGATCAGATGAAGATCAGCGTCCCGTTACTCAAGCGACTGAGTGATATGTCAAAGAACAGATACGATTTTCGTAGATCCATTCATCCGTAACTCTGGCGTAGAGAACGTTCAGGCAAGACTCGATATTAAAAAACAACAGTATTAGTCGACCACAGGATGTACGGATTCCCCCATCTCGGATTCCAGAGTACGAGGTTGATCCAGGCACTTACGTTGACCCCGGAAGAGAACTGTTACTTGTTCAAAGCATTCTCAGCAGTATTGCCGATGAGGTCGAGCTCAATGCCGGCTCCAGCGATGCCGATCTTCCCATATGCAGAGACGACGTTTTTGGGGGCAGCTGTGCATCCGATTTCACCGACGATGGTGAACTCGATGAGGGTGCCGAGTATGGGAACGTTCAATCCGAAAGTAACTGTGGCCCCGATAGCCGCGTCGAAGCTGAAGCTACTGTCATCGTATCGACCACCTCCAGGGCCCGTCAAGCACGCCCAGATAGAGACAAAAATACCAGCACCTAGTTGCCGGATGAAAGCACAGCCTGTCGCTGAGATGATGCCCAAGTCCAGGGCGAAGTTCTCATGGTCGTCGTTGAGCGTGAGTGCTGCATAGACAGCAAGCTCGGCCGTCTTCCTTGGGTTGTCGACATCCGGTAGACGCATACACATCAGCCGGGCGCCCTTTACGTTAACAACCTTCATCGTTGGGCTGTGCCGTCAACGTTCAGGATACACCGGCTTCAGTTTGTTTTCTCTTCCCCACTCAGTTAATATCAGTGTGAGTGTGGGAGGGAGGGGGGAATGAAAATGATTCTGATTGATCTTATTCTGAGATCCCCGCCTCTAACGCTTCCCGCAAGCCTCTCAAGTGATCTCTCACGCGTGCTACTGCTATCATCGCGCGCCCCTATGTGTACGCACACACAATCGTCGTCGTGTGTTGCCATACTCACGCTAAAACTGGCGGCCGTAAACTGTCCGACCACGTCAAGTTTGACGAAGAGGCAACTCCCACCGTCATTGGTACCGTTCGCGCGTGCATGAGGGAACTCGAAATTGAATGCTGTTAGCAGCTGTCGACGAGCACCCATATTTTTCAAGTATGTAGCAGCAGCCGTGGAGAGGAGGACGAGGAAGGGCGTAGACGACGACGACGTCGTTCAGACATCCCACCGACTATGGCCAGAGAGCAAGCTATCGCGGAAGCTCAAGTGCCCAGTATCGGGTGCTGCTCGATGTTGTACAACTCACAGACAAGTTCGTGTGTTTTTTTCTGAGGTTAACACACCATCATTCCCTTGGAAGTTGGTGAAGGTCATCTCCTGGTCAATATCATCGTTATTACTCCGGTTGGAGGCCACCAGGTTGAGAGGCTTCTCGTTCTTCTCGTCCATGTAGAGGGTCCAGGTATCGGGCGCCAGGTCTGCCAAGTAGAAAACAGAAAAGTTGGCGCCTGTCGAGGGGTCGATACCATCGTAGCTCTCCTTCACCCACTTGTTAACCATCACACCGTCCTTCTCCACCATACCGTGAGGAGACCAGCCGGCGTCCTCGAGCGTCATCGAGTCGAATGTGGTGAACGGGGGAGAATCTGCCCCTGTGGGAGCTTCGCCGACGAGGACCGCCTTGCCATCGACGAGCCGTTCAACAGTAGTAGAGCCCGCCGTCGAAGTGCGCATGAAGTACTGATAGGGGTAGCTGGGGTGGGCTTCCACCATAGTCTCAGAGCCATCGCTTCCGGCGATCACGTGAGCCCTGGTCGTGAGGGTGCCGTCGTCCATGCCGGGGAGTGTGAGGCCTTGCGTCGCAACAGCGGTAGCTGTGCT